GTGCTCCAGCCAGAATCGAGCTGTGAAAATGGATGGGTTTTCTTCGTCTCGGTGTACTGAGTCCATAGGGACTGAAATCATCTCAATCGGAGGTCGGATGGCGGAGATATCACGACGGGAAGAAATGGGAATTTCGGAACTTCCGCCGGCGATTGCGGCTGATTCCGGCGGGGTTGGAGGTCGTGCCGCATGTCGTTGAACTCAGCTCGTCGAGATCTTTCTATTGACACCGGCGGTGTCAAAAATGGAGGTCGGAATCTTAACTTGAGTATTTGGCCATTGATGGTTTGTGTGAGAGAGAACGTGAGAGGAGAGAGAGAATGAGCGAGAATAAGAGAAAGAAAGTGCAAGAACCCTAAAAATTTCACTATATAAAGTATCTGATTAAGGCAAGATTACGTGCCTGATCTTATCCTCAATTATTTCCTCTAAACAGATTAAATTTATACTGATTAGAGGTAATTAGTTTAGCTCACGTAAGTTAATCTACTACTTACAGTCCAATATCAATTTCTGAATAATTCAATATTGTTTTATATTCTTACTCGCGTAATATTTCAAACAGTTTCAAGTCTTGAAATTAATTTTAGACTGAACAAATTCTAAATTTTAATTTTCTGTATTCTATCCCAAGAATGACGTTTCTGACAGTGTCAACTCCCGAGCTCATATTGTATCCATCTACTATAGGTATTTATCTTGTGACTTTAACCTAACTGTCTGGCAATTAAGGATTTTTTTCTTCTTTTAAAATGTTAGTGCGTTTTTTTTTTATACGCCGCTAACATCGTGCTGTGCTTAGAGATTCTTGAAATTAAGATTCTCAAACTATACTTGTACTGAAAATTATTCCGCCTTAAAATACGGCGAGAATTTATCGATCGAATTTACTTGATCGAAACATGAACTTAACATGAAATTTGCTATAGAATTTAGGAATACATATATTAATTCCATAAATCCTCCATTCACAATATAACATAATATTTTCTAAGAAAATCCTTGGCTTAAAAATACATGAATTGTATTATTTAAGGTCTGGAATTTTCTCAGTCATTACAGTGATGCCCCGCCGGTGCCCCGTGGCTGCCCTGGGATACACAGGCCTCATTTATTTCACCGATTTAAATTTTTAGTTATAAGTTTCTACAGTTAAAAACTCTTAAAAAATGTCACATCTAACTTTTTTTACTACAGTTAAAAGTTTTCAAAAAAGTCACATATTCACTCGAATTGAAAACTCAAATCTGTGAAGCAAACAATGCCATAATATTTTTGAGACGTAAGCGTCTGACTCATCATCCTTGGCCTTTTTTAAAACCATTAGTTTTTATAACATGCGCGTGATTCATTTAAAACAACGATTGTCAAATAATTTTTGAAAAAAAGTCGTAAAAGAAATAAAGACGCGAGAAAATGATCTGAAGCAAAAGATAAATAAAGAATATTTTAAATTATTTTGTTGTGTTTAAATCAATTCTATTTGATTTTGTTTAATATATTTTTACTTAATTTGGTGTACTTTTATTTTATTTTAGTTTATTTTTGTTAAATTTTATTTTTTATTGAATCATTTATAGTATTTTTATTTAAACAATGCTAAAAATTTAATACAAAACTGATAAAATTAAACTAAATATAAACCAAAATTAATAAGTAAATATAAAAATAATTAGTAAATAAAACTAATTTTTTTATCATCAAATCAAAAATATAAACGGATCATATAATCTCATTTTCCCTCTCTCTCCCTTTCTCTCTTTTCTGAAGAGGGTCTCACCACACTTTCTCTCTTTCTCGAGGAGCTCTCTTTCTCTTTTCTCAGGCGGGCCCACCACTCCCCACTCCGAGGAGCTCTCTTTCTCTTTTCCCAGGCGGGCCCACCACTCCCCATTCCCACTCTCTCTTTCTCTCCTTCCCACGTGGCTCTCTCTTGGTGAAAAAGCAGCGCTAGAGGAAAAAAAAAAGCCAACAACACATTTGATATAGATTATGGTGCGACACAGTACACACTGCTAACCAATAAGTGATGGGTCAAACACGCTTTTAATAAGAAACGCTAATGTTTTTAAAAGTACAAGAAACACTAGAGAAACTTTCATAAGACAAAAAAAAATTTTCAAAAATAAAGGGGTTGTTCGGCAGCCTCTTTTTTGAGTCAAAAATTTAAAAAAAATAACTCGAGTTACAATTTTATTCAAGTTCATATTTTTTTAAGTTTGAATTCGAGTTTAAACTCGAGTTTGAACTCAAGTTTGTGACAAACTCGAGTTCAAGTTTTCCCTTCAACTCGAGTTCAAAAACTCAAACTCAAATTAATGAACACTATTTTTTCTATTCTTAAAAATGCTATAACTTTTTCGTTTTAATTCTGATTGAGATATTTTTTTTCTATGCGTTGACAACGAAAAGACGAATAAAATCTCACCTATATACCCAATTAAAATTTTTCATCAACATTGAGTTTTTATTAAAATACTATCTAAATACAAATTTAAGTTTTGACTCACTCAAACACAAACTCAAAATGATTCTTATCTCAAACCATAACTCAAATGTACACAACCAAATACAAACTCAAGTTACAACTTCAACTCAAGTTATTGAGGCCCCGTTTATTTCGCTGATTCGAGTTTTGCTACGGTAAAAAGCTCTCAGAAACAATCACATCTAACTTTTTTGCTACAGTAAAAAACTCTCACATAAAGTCACATCTCAACTCGAATTAAAAACTCGAATCAACGAACTGAACGAGAACTCAACTCAAAATCTACACTCAAATTACCTAACTCAAAAAAGGTAAAAGAATAGCCCCAAAATAAATTAAAATGCAATTAAGAGTGAAAATAACTCTATAGTGAAAATAACTCTATGTTATAAAGTCATCAATTTGGATTGTTAAAAGTTACTAGCTACTGGAAGTAACTCTACACAACTATTATTAACAAAGCTCCATTCAGATTCCATTTTCACTCCAATGCCCGCATCTGCGTAGATATTCGAGCCTGGGGCGTGAGCACCAGCATTCGACGGCTCTAATTCGCGAACCATTTCAGCCGCTAGCTTTCCAAGCTCAATATCTCCATGCAGTTTGCAGGCAACAAGCAGTGTTCTCCATATGGCAGCATTAGGTTTAATAGGCATATTATTGATGAACTTTTCCGCCTCTTTTAGTCTCCCTTTCTGGCCAAGAAGATCCACAATACAAGAGTAGTGACGGCAATCGGGCTCTATCTCGTAATCTTTAGTCATTGAATGAAGATGGTTATAAGCTTCTTCAACTAAACCACTACTGTTACAAGCAGATAAAACACCAACAAAGGTCACCGAATCGGGTCTGATTCCTTCTTTCTTCATAGTCTCATAGAGTCTCAAAGCCTCTGCTCCTTTCCCGTGGTTCGCATAGTTAATGATCATAGATGTCATTCCGATCAAATCATGTTGTTCTATCTGATAAAATGCTTTGGTGCAATCTTCAAAGCATCCAGACTTTGAATACATCATTAGTAGTGAGCTTCCAACGAAAACATTCGAATCTAATCCCAGTTTTGTGCTTCGGGCATGGATTTGAATCCCAAAACTTGGTCTATTCAAGAGGGCAATTACTCCAAGAATGGATGACAGTGTGAAGGGGTGGATGGGCAAATCAGCTATCACCATATCACGGAACAGTTGAAGCGCCTCCTCAAAGTGCCCGTTTTGGGAATAACCGGACACCAAGGAAGTGCATGTGACTTCATCCTTTTGGGGCATCGTGTCGAAAACCCTCTTTGCTGATTCCAAATCACCACATTTCGAGTACATGTTTAAAAGTCGGTTACAAACTTCTGTTTTGTTGCCGAATCCCAAACGAATAGAATAACCATGGATTTCCTTACCAATCTGTTGGGAGCGAAGAGCAGAGCACGCTGTTAGAATCGCATTTAGAATAAGAACATCAGGTACAATTTCGCCTAAAAGCATCTCCCTAAATAACAGAAGTGCTTGATCTGCAAACCCATGTTCTTTAAAACTGGCTAACATTGAGGTCTGTGCCATTGCACCCCATGTACCAAGATTCTTTAGATTTTCCATCTGTCTAACCACCATTTCCGATCGATCTACCGAACTCACTTTTGAATACATTGAAATTAAAGAGGCCCCAACTGATGCATCAAAATAGAAACCGGTTTTCAATATCAATGAATGAATTTGGATGGCCTCCTCAAACATCTCTGGTTTACCACAAGCCGAAATTACGCTAGTAAGAGTATGCTCATTGATTTCCTCTCCCAACTTTCTCATCTCTCTGAAAACCTTGAGGGCAGAAATCGAATCACCCCTCTTTACAAAACCAGAAATGACAACAGTCCAAGAAACCACATTGCGGTTCGGCATCCACAAAAACTGCCTGAGAGCCTCTTCCATCTTCCCATAATTTGTGTATAAGTAGACAATAGCTGTCCCCGTAGTGACATCTTCTGCACCGGATTTAAGCAACAAGCCCTGAACTCCTTTCCAAATTTCAATCTCTCCAAGTTCACGACACGCAGTAAGAACAACACAATAGGTGGCATTATTTGGCACTAAAGATTTTCCACACATTTCGCGAAAAATATCCAAAGCAATTAAATTCTCCCCATGTCTGACTGCTCCAGAAATAATGGTATTCCAACAGACTACGTTCTGACATGAAACGTCACGAAAAGCTCTCAGACCGTCCTCGAAGCTGCAAGTTTTCGTAAACAAACCGATCAATCTAGTCCGAACAGGAGCAATCAAAGAAAACCCTGTTTTCATTACAAGTGAATATACAAGCCGAGTACAAATAGCATCTTGCAAAGCAGAACAAGCTAAGAGAACTTTCTCGTAGGTTGTTACATTGGGCTTAAAACCCGAAGAACTCATCCTACAAAAAACACCCCATGAATGCATATACAACGAATTCTCATTGTAACCCGAAATCAAGATATTCCACGAACTAACATTTCGATGAGGCATTAAATCAAACAGTTTTAGTGCATCCACCATAGCGCCTGATTTACAGTAGCAATGGAGCAGAGAATTCGAGGCGAACATATCCGATCGCAAAACAGCGCGATCGAGCAAATGGGCATGTAAAATTCTTGTATTTGTGATGTTATAAAGTCCTGAGCTTGCATAGTCGTTGAAAAGACGAATGGGATCAAAAGTACCACCGGGCATTCTTTCATGTTGAAGTGGGCATTCGAAAATGACAAGGGAAGTTAGGAACTTGGAGTTAAAAGGATAGATTCTGGTTTGGAGTTTGTGGTTGAAGAGATGTTTCATTTTTTTCAAAGTGTTGTTTGCAGAAGACGAATATACTCAACGATGTCCTTAGACGATAAACACCCCCATCAATTTTATCATTTGTGTTAATATGCCCTATAAATTTTAAAATGCATATATTTTACCTCATAAATTGTGATATGTCTTCAATTTCTCTTCATACTCTTAATTATGTCAATTTTTTAAATAAAAATATTAATATAACTATTAAATTATAAATTATTTATAATATTACATTAAGTTTGTTTACATTCTGAAATTTGTTCTTGATCTGTTAAGAAACTTGCTTCTTTATTGTTGTATATTTTTTGCTTTCTAGTCATGTTATTGTTATCGTTAAGAAATGGTAAAAGGTGTTTAAAAAAATAGGTAATTTAAATAAATAGTCTCTAATCTTTTTAAAAGATGATAATTTAATCTCAATTTTTTTTTAATAAAACGACCCTTAATCTATTTAAAATGTGATAGTTTGATTTTTTTATTAAATTTTTTAAAATTTTTAACAGAATTAATCATGTATAAAATATGTGATCTTATTATAAAGAAGATATTTTAGTAAAATATCAAGACAAGCTCTCATTCTCTCTCACGCTCTCACTCTCTCATTTCACTTCCATATCCATGGCCAAAAGTTTCAAAGTCATTATCGATTCGTGCACTAGTAAAATTTGGAAAGAAGCTTTATGCCTGAACATGTGTTAAAAATAAATAAATAAATAAAGACATGTGTTGAATTGCAAACATTTATGTTGATTGCAGATAAACAAATCAACCCACTATTTTTTAACAAATGTTTGCAGATTCAACACAACATGTTTTTTTTTTTTTGGAAATCAAAGCTTTTTTTTTTTTTTTTTTTACAAATGTTCAACACATGTTAAGACAAAAAGTTTCTTTCCAAATTTAATGGTGCACGATAAGGACTTTGAAGCTTTTGGCCATGGATATGGAAGTGATATGAGAGAGAGAGCATTTTAATGGTGCACGATAAGGACTTTGAAGCTTTTGGCCATGGATATGGAAGTGAAATGAGAGAGAGAGAGAGAGAGCGTGAGAGATGAGAGAGAGAATGAGAGCTTGTCTTAGTATTTTATTAAAATATTTTCTTTAATAAGATTACATGCTTTGTATATAATTAATTATATTAAAAATTTAATGAAATTAGACGGAAAGAACTAAACTGTCATTTTTGGACCCGTTTAGTTCGCTGATTCGAATTTTTAATTCAAGTTAAGACGTAATTTTATGTGAGAATTTTTTATTATAACAAAAAAGTTAGATGTAATTATTTGTGAGAGCTTTTTACTGTAGCAAAACTCAAATTCTAAACTCGAATCAGGGAAATGAACGGTTCATAATAAGTTAGGGGTCGTTTTATCAAAAAAAATATTAATGATCAAACTGTCACATTTTAAAAAAGTTAAGAACCATTTATGTAAATTACTCTAAAAGCTTTTAATTACGGAGACATGTTGCGACTAAAAAACTGTCACAACAAATTGTAATTATGAAATATTTATGCATAAATCATCATGATATTTAGTGATAAAAACATGTTGTGACTAAAAGACTTTTAGTCACAATACAAATTTTTTGTTGTGGCTACAAATTTTGTAGTGTATATATATACACTCTCGTATAAATAGAGATCAATTTCACGCATATACCTTAACTTATAATTTCATACAAGACAGTGACAACTAGCAACACAACCATGATACACCTTTTCCTCCCTCAGTCCTCAGATATTGTGCGAAAAAAGCTTCTTGAAATTAAAAATAACTCAACTACCATTTTTAGTTCAGTGAGATTTAGAGGATCATCCATGATTTTTGACTTTTTTTAATTTTTAATTTTTTATTAGGATTAAGATTTTTAGTTATCTAGTACTCTTTGGATTGAGTCATAATGAGACTAGGACTGCAGATTCTATAATTAAGGCTCCTAAATACGTATGCAGTTAATAATTTGAAAAAAAAAAAAAAATCATTTAAGATGATAAAAAATATTATTTATACCATTTTATTAAAAAATAAATAAGTGTCATTCAATTAATAAGAAGAAAATAAAAAGTCACAATGACATTTAATTATTTAGAATGACATAAATAATAAAGTTAAAAAAAAAATTTAACTTGAAATTTTCTTTTCATTATTTTGTGTTAGTTTGTGAGTTTATTTTTTATAGGACTCTAATAAGACTTTATTTTCTCTAGTTTTCTTTAAATAGGACATTTTTATTACGTGTTCAACTCAAACTAGGATTTTTTTCGACCAAAAAAAACTGAAACTAAGATTGCATGTTGAATTAGGATTTGTCAGCCTATAAATAATGCGTTCTGTTGAGGTTGGGGCTGCAGGGCCACGCATAGAGGTCAGTACCTTTTTTTTCGCTCCGTCCTAAAGTTCTAGTAAACTTAGGACCTTTAGTATACTCTTTTCTTTATTGAATTTGTAATTAATACTCAAATGGTTATTCTTCTTTTTACCGAATTATCATATATATGTACATATATCTCATATATCAATAGAGAAGAAGTTGAGTACCATTGTGAAACCTCTATTATTATAGTTTTTTCTACGTTTAGTGTAAATACGTTTATTTGTGACTTTTCTCTCACATGCAGTAATGATTTGCTTTCAGAGGAAGAATATGGTTTTGGTTCTTTTAAAGCTTTTGAGATTATTTTTAGTTAGACATCAAACAACTCAATAATAGATATATATCGATACAAGACAAACGAATACTTTTATGTGGTTTTCAGAATATTTAATATTTAACAACGATTATATAAAATCCACTTGTAGAAAGAATCTAATGTGATATTAAATATTCCGGAGATTGCTTTGGAGTATTCTTTTGTGTTGCATCGATATAATTATTAGGCTGCTTTATGTCTCACTGAAAATAACTTCTCATACGAAAGCTTAAGGATCCGTTTGGTAAAAGAGATGGATTAGTGGAGGGATAGATATGATATGAGGGGAGGGAAAGTGAGAATGGAGGGAATGATTGAGAGTTTCCTCAAAGTTATTTGGCATGATAAGAAGGAAAGATAATGACTTTCTTTTCTATTGTTTAGTATTAGAAGGAAACAAGAAGGGAAAGATTTGATTTTATTGATAAAGTTATGTATTTACCCTTATATTGAAAGTAATTATATTTACTTGAAATCTTTTATTTTTATTGTTTGTAAAATTGATTTGCTTTATAATACAAATGTACACATAGTGCTGGAACTTTGGACGGGCCATCCGCGACTGCCCGAAAAGCCCGAGGTTTTGCCCGAGCCCGACCTGCCCGAGAATTCCGGGCTGCCCGCCCGAGCCCGAATTTCACCTTGAACGGGCCGCGGGCTTGTATTAGGCGGCCCGAGCCTACCCGAATTGCCCGAATTATTTAAACTTTTTTTTAATATTAAGTTATTTATATATA